CATGGGATACAGGTGTTCCAAGAGGAGAGTTTATGGCAACCTGCATAACTGGTTAGGACAACCCGCATTTAAGAAAACAGCGAGAACTCCTAAATGACCTAATGACGCATTTTGAGATCTCTAGAAAAATGAGAACAGATCAAACCAAAATTATATGAAAGAATGAACCTCAGGGAGGAAAATAATGAAATGGTGATTAAGAATCAATGAAACAAAGAGTTGTTCTTTGAAAAGATTAACAAGATTAACAAACCCTCAGCCAAAGTAACCAAAGGAGAAAAGAGATCTAAATGAATAAAATTAGAGATAAGTGGATATTATAATAAATATTGATGAAATCCAGAGAATTATCAAAAAGATCTAGCCAACAACACATTAAGAACATGAGCTGCCAAGAACAAGTTAGTTTACACCAGGAATTCATAATAATAAACATAATAAGCACATAAGAAGAATCAGGAGGAAAATCATCTGAAAGGCAGAAAAAAAACCTTTGACAAAACTCAACATCCCTTTATAATAAAAGCCCACAAGAAGCTAGAAAAGGACCTCTCTTTGCTCTTTTCTAGCTCTTTCTTAGCTCCTTCCTTCTCTTCTCTTTCCCAGCTCTCCTCTCTTTCCCAGCTCTCTCTCTTTTCCCAGCTCTCTTTCCCAGGCCTTTCCCCACCGCGTGGAGGACCAAGATGGCCTGGTGCCAGCTGGAACGATGAATAAACCTTCCCCTTACCTGAATACCACGTGCGTGGTGCAGTTCTTACTTGGCTACCTATTTTTAAAAACCTAACATAAGGTACCAGAGCCAAAAGGGCAGAGCCAGGATTCTAATTTAAGAACATGGAGACAGCAGAGAAAGGGCCCTGCTCTTCTACTTGGAGTGGGGAATTACATTGAGAATGTTCACCTGGCTCCCTCCCACCAATTCCAATGGTTTACAGGATCAAGGAAGGAAAATGTACAAGCACAGTTAGAGGACAGGCTTTCAAATCTGACTCACAGTAAAACACCAATAATACAAAAAGAAACTAGAAAAGGAGAAGGAGAGCATTTGGGAGGAGGAGGGCCTACAGGAGGGAAGGCATGCACACACATGCCAAAACATGCACACATGCTCAAACACACATAACAAATGCACACACCCAATCATGCTTGCACTCACGCACGCACATGGCTGCATACCCCACACATGCCAAAACATACATATGCACACAATTCCTGCACACCCCACATGCCAACACATATACATGCAACACACACATACCTGCATACAAATGCACACAAACACCACAACACACCTACACATAAGCACACACATGTCTGCACACCCCTACATGCCAACACTTACATATGCACACACATATTTTACACATCCCTATACTCATACACATGTACAATACACTCAGACACATGCATGCAGGCAAACACACTACATACACATGTGCACACACACAGACACATGCATACAGATACGCATACCTGCACATATACACATACATACACCATACACATGCACACACTCACATGTAGACATATAAACACACACACATACACACACAATGCCAAACCGAATACAGGTCTGTCATCCTCCTCTTTCTCCATATTCAAGCACTAAATCTCCAATTCCATCACATTCTCTTCTGCACAAGCCAGTGGCTTTGTGCTGATGAGGCTGTGAGGACCAGTCACACCAGGCTGGTGTTGAGGTCACCTGAGCCCCAAGCATGTACTAAGCCACCCCCCTGCCCTGCTGAAGGTTGGCTCACCATCAAAGCTAGGCTCCTTGGGAGCTTCCCCTGGCCTACAACATCTTCTTCCTGTCTCCACCTACTAGAGCAAACCAAAAAGCCAACACAAACACTCGGCTCAGCTGCAGGAAAGCTCAGCTCAGGTCCAGTCCCTTCCCGAGGGGGCCTATGTGTCGGTGCTCACAGCTCACCCCCGTCTTCAGAGCATGCCCGGCACTTCCCACTGTCACCAAGTCTGTCTCCTTTCTCAGCATCACTCTGAACTTAAGAGTAGCAACTGCACTCCTGCTCCTCAAGGCTTGTTGCAATAAATATTTGCTGACAGAGTGTGAGACAAGAACGCGACGAGGTAAAAACATCACTCTGTTGAGCACTAACAACTATAAATGGTTGAGGATACAAGACACCCCTCTGAATGGGAAATTAGATCTTATTATTGCTCAAGTGTCAGGAAATTCACTTCTGTTCAGAGAAATTATTAAAGGAAATCAGTATTACATATGTGATGACAATGTAACTACTGAAGGCTATTTTAATATTATCATATATTATTATAGAATTATGATTTTGTTTTTGTACATTATTCATCTACTTAAAACAGGAAGGATTTGGTCTTGGAAGAAAACAAAGGGACAATATTTAATAAAAAGACTACAAACACCTAGTGGGTAAATACTACAATGATAGGAACAAAACAATATTCTCAGAGAAGCAAACTTCTGTGCCATGTATTTTGCATATAAAATCCTGTTTGGTTCTTACCAGGGGCCTCTGAAGGTGGGCACTGCTACACTCATCTTTTTAGAAATATGGAAAACAGCTGGCACCAATGGCTCATGTCCATAATCCTAGCTACTCAGGAGGCTGAGATCTGAGGATTGAGGTTCAACGCCAGCCCAGGCAGGAAAGCCTGTGAGATTCTTATCTCCAATTAACTACCCAAAAAGTCCGGAAGTGGTGCTGTGGCTCAAGTGGTAGAGCACTAGTCTTGAGCAGAGCAGCTCAGGGACAGTGTCCAGGTCCTTAGTTCAAAAGGACACTTAGACGTATGGAAATAAAACCCAGACACACAGCTGAGAGCCAGGGGTGGATGGGATCCTGCCGCAGAGGGAAGGTTCCCTGCCTGCGTCACACTGCGGTGTCCTGAGTACTGGGGCCCTTGTGTCCCCATCTGTAACAGGAGGGTGCTGTGGTGGGCCCCGACCTACCCCCCAGCCCAGCATCTCCATCGACAGGGAGCGAGACCACTGGAAGTCTGGCATGGTTCGGGAGCAGTACCAGAGTGGAATGGTGCTGCTCATGCCTGAAATACACCAGCAGGTGAGCAGACGGCATCATCTGCAGAGGATGGCCCCAATGCAAAGACTGCTTGGAATACTTGCTTTGGTTCTGTTACTGTTCCTTCTTTGTCTGACCCTACTATTTTCTTAAATTTCATGCCTGTTATGGCAGGAGCTGATTTTCTCTATGCCAGGTGACTTTCCGAATGACATGATAGAATGTATTTGATATTGCACATGATAGCATACACATAGGTTCACTTTTTAAAGGACTGTCCAAAGGCAAAACTAATTCAAGAAAATGTCATGGCAGGAAAACGTCAAGAGGAGAAGCCAAGATACGAAACTGTCTGGAGATGCAGAGTTGAGCTTTCATGGAGAACATTAGGTAGCAACCATCTCCAGCATGGAAAAGGCTCTACTCATAACACCTACTAGTGAAATGCTTTATGTCCAAAACAATGAGCATTAATTCTATGCAAACAAATTTGTACAGAAGATATATGTTCTTGTTGGAGCTATACCTCCACTTCTGGCTTTCGCTATTTAATTGGAGATAAGTGTCTCACAGACTTGTTTTTTGTGTTTTGTTTTGGGCGGTGCTGGTTTTGAGCCTCGATCATTTGGTCTCAGTCTTCTGAACCCAGGATTGCAGGTGCACCCACCGGTGCCCGGCTTCGAGGGGATTACTGCAAGGCTGATACGCAGGTGTCTGAGCCTGCCAGCAGTTCTTTTTCAGGGACTCTTGCTACCTTAGAGGTGTGAGCTTATTTGACTACACTTTTTCATGACAAGCTCTAAGACTCTGTTTCTTTTAAATTCTAATAGATGCAGTAAATTATTAACACAATATGCCAAGCATAAACTATTTGAATTTTACAGATTTATATGAGACAGAATGAAATATCCATCATCTAGCACAAATTCTATTATTTCCCAAAGGGGCAGATAAGTGTCAAGGCATAATTATATTCTTTTCTGCTATGACCTCTGAAGATGTATATCTGCTTGAAAATGAATTATTCTTCTTTACTAAAGAACATTTGCATTTCTGTTCTAATATGCTTTTAATGAAAGATTCTTTACAGTTGTTATTTTTTGAAACTAGGGTTGTGTGCCTTTAGCTCCCCACCACTTCATCTTCTGAATAGTCTAGCAGTCACACTTGGCTTGTTTCCATCTCTGCCCCTCTCTGAAGACAAATGGGAAGGAGGAGGAAGAAATGAGGAAAAATAAAAATGAAACGGGAAGTTCTCCCCGCTGGACCTTCCTAGTCTGGCACCTGCTCACTAGGTGTTTGAACCCATAGCTTGGTAAACCTTCACCAGTGCCTTCAGCATCCTGTGGTCCCAGAACACAGCTACTGACAATGCACTGGTAAGTGTGACGGTCGATCTTGTCCACGCCCCTCCTTCCCATGTACAAGCCTGGGCTTCAAACTGGGCATCTTGGAGGGAGCAGATGAGCTCAGCAATACAATCTAAAGTCATGGAAGTGGGCACTGGGACCTTGCTCCTGGGACTAGCCCACACTAAGCCTTTTACAGGGCACTGCTGACACTGCCCCTGGTAGGTCACTCATGGCCATCAGCCCTTGCTGTGTGGTGGATAGAGAAGCCTCCATCGTATAGAGAGGCCTCTATCTCATAGAGAGGCCTCCATTGTACGTGAGGGGTCCAGAGGTCAGCCCACCACGCCTGCGATGGGGCTGTGCCTGGTGATGCTGGGTGGGACAAGGAGGCATGGGGACCTTGTTCTCCAGAGCCTGGAGGGTTCCAGAACCAGAGAGCCGGATTAGAAATGGATGGAGTGGTTCTCCAAGTCCTCTCCCCACCCAGGGTGGTCATGTGAGGATGAGCTGCTGTGGTCCCACTGATGTGGGCCTCCTCTGCCCTGCTTCCTGCCTGCAGGGCTGTGCAACCAGTCACAATTCTCCATTCTGCAGGTTGCTAGCTAAAAGAAAGAAAGAACCATCTTACCAATGCGGAATTTTGCTCAGGACATAAAATCCAGTATAGGAGTGTCGATATATCTGAAACAGAATGAAAGCAAAGTATAGTCAGAGGCTGCAACAAGGATGTCTTTCCACATTACTGAGTCTGGACAAACAATCACTGAGCCCAAAGTGGTCCTGACCACCCAGGCCTGTACTGACTCAGGGTGGCAATTTGCGTATCTTGTTGTTTTTATGATTTCCATCATTTGCAGTGGTTTCCAGCGCAGCTGGAGGCTCGACGTCATCTCCACAGCTACCTGGCTTGTGATCAAATTAGGACCACAGATTTCCAGTGTAACTAAATACAGCATGGAGTAACAAGGACCCACAGTCACTGGGGTCCATCACTCCAACCCTGGTTCTGCTCAAGTTCCTGCAAAGTAAGGCCTGTGGGGCTCTGGAATCCTCTCCGTACAATCTGAGGGCAGCACTGGAGCTGCGGAGTGTCTGTCCTGAACCTCTGCCCCAAGAGGCGAGTCAGAGTAGGAGGCCTTCAAAACAGAGGAGTGTTTCCCAACTGCTGGAGCCCCTAAACCTCAGATCTGTCTCTCTTGACCTCTTGAGGCAGGAGATTGGTCCCTGTTCCATAAATTTAATAACATTTTAGGGATACCCCAAGAGAAGGAGAACCACAGTCAGGAAATGTTAGAGCTTTTTGTATAGAGGACTCCATCCATGTGGGCTTGGGTGGGGGATGGGAGCCCCTATTTCACCCCACTCCCTCTGCTGGGGGGACTCCTCAGAGCTGGTGTCCTGCGTGGGTGTCCAGGGACTGGCACATAAAACTCATTCTAAAGATGACAGATGAGGGGAGGGCAGACGTGTAACACGCAGCATGTGCTGAACACGGGATGCATGGTGGCTCTTTGTTGGGACAGGAGCCTGGAGAGGAAAACAGAGGTCTGCCCACCAGGTGACCTGTGGAGAGGGGACCTGTGGAGAGGATCATGTGCTGGGGAGCATGTGGAGGGGAGCACATGTGGAGAGGAGCACATGGGAGCACATGGAAGGGAGCTCATGCAGGGGACCATGTGCAGGGGAGCACTGGAAAGTAGCACCTGCAGGGGAGTGTGTGGAGGGGAGCACATGAAGGGGACCACATTGAGGAGAGCACATGCAGGGGAGCACATGGAGGGAGCACATGGAGGGAGCACGTGGAGGGAGCGTGTGGAGGAGAGCACATAGAGGGAGCGTGTGGAGGAGAGCACATAGAGGGAGCGTGTGGAGGAGAGCACATAGAGGGAGCGTGTGGAGGAGAGCACATAGAGGGAGCACGTGGAGGAGAGCACATAGAGGGAGCGTGTGGAGGAGAGCACATAGAGGGAGCGTGTGGAGGAGAGCACATAGAGGGAGCGTGTGGAGGGAGCACATAGAGGGAGCACGTGGAGGAGAGCACATAGAGGGAGCGTGTGGAGGAGAGCACATAGAGGGAGCACGTGGAGGAGAGCACATAGAGGGAGCATGTGGAGGAGAGCACATAGAGGGAGCGTGTGGAGGAGAGCACATAGAGGGAGCGTGTGGAGGAGAGCACATAGAGGGAGCGTGTGGAGGAGAGCACATAGAGGGAGCGTGTGGAGGAGAGCACATAGAGGGAGCGTGTGGAGGAGAGCACATAGAGGGAGCGTGTGGAGGGAGCACATAGAGGGAGCACGTGGAGGAGAGCACATAGAGGGAGCGTGTGGAGGAGAGCACATAGAGGGAGCACGTGGAGGAGAGCACATAGAGGGAGCATGTGGAGGAGAGCACATAGAGGGAGCGTGTGGAGGAGAGCACATAGAGGGAGCATGTGGAGGAGAGCACATAGAGGGAGCGTGTGGAGGAGAGCACATAGAGGGAGCGTGTGGAGGGAGCACATAGAGGGAGCGTGTGGAGGGAGCACATAGAGGGAGCGTGTGGAGGAGAGCACATAGATGGAGCACGTGGAGGAGAGCACATAGAGGGAGCGTGTGGAGGAGAGCACATAGAGGGAGCGTGTGGAGGAGAGCACATAGAGGGAGCGTGTGGAGGAGAACACATAGAGGGAGCACATGGAGGAGAGCACATAGAGGGAGCGTGTGGAGGAGAACACATAGAGGGAGCACGTGGAGGAGAGCACATAGAGGGAGCACGTGGAGGAGAGCACATAGAGGGAGCGTGTGGAGGAGAGCACATAGAGGGAGCACGTGGAGGAGAGCACATAGAGGGAGCGTGTGGAGGAGAGCACATAGAGGGAGCACGTGGAGGAGAGCACATAGAGGGAGCGTGTGGAGGAGAACACATAGAGGGAGCACGTGGAGGAGAGCACATAGAGGGAGCACGTGGAGGAGAGCACATAGAGGGAGCGTGTGGAGGAGAGCACATAGAGGGAGCACGTGGAGTAGAGCACATAGAGGGAGCACGTGGAGGAGAGCACATAGAGGGAGCACGTGGAGGAGAGCACATAGAGGGAGCGTGTGGAGGAGAGCACATAGAGGGAGCACGTGGAGTAGAGCACATAGAGGGAGCGTGTGGAGGAGAGCACATAGAGGGAGCACGTGGAGGAGAGCACATAGAGGGAGCACGTGGAGGGAGCACATAGAGGGAGCACGTGGAGGAGAGCACATAGAGGGAGCGTGTGGAGGAGAGCACATAGAGGGAGCACGTGGAGGGAGCACATAGAGGGAGCACGTGGAGGAGAGCACATAGAGGGAGCACGTGGAGGAGAGCACATAGAGGGAGCGTGTGGAGGAGAGCACATAGAGGGAGCGTGTGGAGGAGAGCACACAGAGGGAGCGTGTGGAGGAGAGCACATAGAGGGAGCACATGGAGGAGAGCACATAGAGGGAGCGTGTGGAGGAGAGCACATAGAGGGAGCACGTGGAGGAGAGCACATAGAGGGAGCGTGTGGAGGAGAGCACATAGAGGGAGCACGTGGAGGAGAGCACATAGAGGGAGCGTGTGGAGGAGAGCACACAGAGGGAGCGTGTGGAGGAGAGCACATAGAGGGAGCACATGGAGGAGAGCACATAGAGGGAGCGTGTGGAGGAGAACACATAGAGGGAGCACGTGGAGGAGAGCACATAGAGGGAGCGTGTGGAGGAGAGCACATAGAGGGAGCACGTGGAGGAGAGCACATAGAGGGAGCATGTGGAGGAGAGCACATAGAGGGAGCACATGGAGGAGAGCACATAGAGAGAGCGTGTGGAGGAGAGCACCTAGAGGGAGCACATGGAGGTTACCATGTGTAGGTTGCCACTTGGAGAGGAGCACGTGGAGGTTAACACGTGGAGGGGAGCGTGTGGAGGGGAGTAGGAGGGGGCATGTGGAGGTTAACACGTGGAGGGGAGCGTGTGGAGGGGAGTAGGAGGGAGCATGTGGAGGTTAACACGTGGAGGGGGGCGTGTGGAGGGGAGTAGGAGGAGGGAGCACCTGGAGGTTAACACGTGGAGGGGAGCGTGTGGAGGGGAGTAGGAGGGAGCACGTGGAGGTTAACACGTGGAGGGGAGCGTGTGGAGGGGAGTAGGAGGAGGGAGCACCTGGAGATTAACACGTGGAGGGGAGCCTGTGGAGGGGAGTAGGAGGGAGCACGTGGAGGTTAACACGTGGAGGGGAGCGTGTGGAGGGGAGTAGGAGGAGGGAGCACCTGGAGGTTAACACGTGGAGGGGAGCGTGTGGAGGGGAGTAGGAGGGGGCACGTGGAGGTTAACACGTGGAGGGGAGAGTGTGGAGGGGAGTAGGAGGAGGGAGCACCTGGAGATTAACACGTGGAGGGGAGCGTGTGGAGGGGAGTAGGAGGAGGGGGCACGTGGAGGTTAACACGTGGAGGTTAACACATGGAGGGGAGTAGGAGGAGGCACGTGGAGGTTAACACGTGGAGGGGAGCGTGTGGAGGGGAGTAGGAGGGGGCACGTGGATGTTAACCCGTGGAGGGAGCGTGTGGAGGGGAGTAGGAGGAGGGGGCACGTGGAGGTTAACACGTGGAGGGGAGCGTGTGGAGGGAAGCACACGGAGGGGAGCCCGTGGAGGTTAACACGTGGAGGGGAGCACACGGAGAGGAGCACGTGGAGGTTAACACGTGGAAGGATCACTTGGCAAGGGGCCAGCAGTCAGCAAGGACAGCTGGCCGTGTGCCACAGCCTCCTAGGGACACAGGAGTCACGTCTTCTGATGGCTGTGGCCTTGTCAACAACTGACGGCGGCCTCGTGGGGGCCCTGCACCAGCGTCCTTGGCTACATGCCACCTGAGCTCTGGAGCCCGTGACCACGTACAATAATGCTGAGTGGGAGGACCACACACAGAGAAAGCCGGTGCTATTAAATAAGACATGCATAAATCCCTTCCGAGATCGTGAGCTCACTACCTGGGAGCTGCCAGCAACTTCTAAGACCAACAGATGAGCACGCTTCTTGTCAAGACCATGTCAGGGCCAAAGCAAGAAGCCGAGGCAGGACCACGCCAGGCCGGAGCACCAGACAGGAGTTGTGAACTGGCCAGAGGACCTACTATGGCCCTCAGACCACTCTGGCGAAGCTGCTAGGGGAAGCAGAGCAGCTGGCATGTGTGGAGTACTGAAGTAAGGAGGTCGGGTCTGGCGGAGCTATCCTGGCCACATGGTGGATGGTAGGGTCTGGCATCTTGCCTTCCCGCTGGGGGAGGGAAACGCCACCACCTCCCAGGGGATGGGCGGGCCGGGATCCCTGGAGACAGGGGCGGGCTCGTGGCTGGTAGGTTACTGAGTCTGTCAGTCCAGTGTCTGGGACTGGGAATTTCCGGTGGACCTGCCCCCTGCGCTGACCCTAGTGAGGACAGATCAGCACAGGCCTCATTACACCATGCCACGTGTCTCCATGTCCTGTGTCCTGTCTCCTGGCTCGTCTCGGATCATCATGGTGTCCCCGTTCAGCTCTCCATCGGAGCTGAGTTGGTTTGTTGGTTTTTTGTTCTTTCCTCTCTGGCCTTTCCTAAAAGGTGTATTTGGGGGCTGCAGGCCTTTGTAACAACGGGTTGCCTACAGCCAGCTAACTGTATAATAAAGACTCCAATGCTCTAATCATACAGAATGTGGCTTCTGGGATGA